AAATGTAGTATATGTTACACCCCCGTACACTACACACTGGAACTCAAAAGGGTCTTCCTGCTTGGTAAATGAACACTGATGGCCTTTTTGAAGGTTATTTTCTCAGAATTTAAATAAGACCCTCCAGATGGCATTACACAGCAGTTTTGACCTTTACGTGTAAATCAAAGGAGTGCTACTGTAATCCTACTCTAACCTGTACCTCATATTTCTATCGTTTTTTTCAAACTAATCACTGTGACGTTTTAAGTTTTAGGTGACATTCTCTGCCTGCCAACGGTCATACTATAAAATACGGTCTTATAATAAAAACAAAAAACAACAAACATGTGTGGTTATATAATGCTCTTATGATTATTCAGCAAAAGTTACATTACTCACCCAGACCCAGACTCCTTAGTCACCCGTAGATGCAATGCGATTATTTTTTAAATATGCTATTTAGAAGAAACAATGCACACTGATTAAAGAGGCCCTATTATACTTTTTGGGGTTTCCTGTAGTGTGTTATATAGACTTTTGTGCATGTAAATGGTCTGCAAAGGCTAAAATCCTAAAATGTCTCCCCCCCCCCCTGCCTGAAACGCCCCCATTGGTCTCCTTTGTTTACTTCTGTAGCATAGTGACATCACCATGTAACACTCGCTCTTCTTTTGTACGTGATAGGCTAAGGGGCGGGACATCTCTAAGCGGTTGACCAATCACAACAGAGCCAGCCATTTAACCAATCAGAACAGACTGGGCTCTTTTTTCAGATAGTGTGAAAAGAGGTGCTGCAGCACAGGCAGTATGAGAAAAAACAAAGACCTTTTTGAACAATAAAGCGAGTAAACATGTCACAGTAGGCACAAAACAAATATGAACCTGACCATGACAAGAATAGGGCCCCTTTAAAACAAATCCTGTTCAAAAAAGTGCTCAATCTTTATTCGACTCTCACAAGCAGGGAGGTAATTCCAGAAGATGAATTCCCAAGAGAGGTTTTATCTTACATATTTAATCTGACGTAATCTTTGTGGTTGAAATCTATCTGCCAACTCCACCATGTGACACAAACTCAGCAGAACAAACCTCCACATTACTGAGAGATGTGACTCAAATTCCAAAGAGGAAAAGGATCAAGACGATGCTATCTATAGTATGCTAAGATTGCTCCGATCATATCAGACAGGTGATCTCAAACATCAGCCCGGGCTCCAGTTACATCACGATGCGTTTGACAGTCACCTTTGGCAAGCTGTTAGTTCTGCATAGCATGAATCACTCTGATCTGCATCCATTTCTCATACGGGTGATGACTACATGCAGCATTACTCTACGTGATTCAACAGATTCTCACATTAGGAGGGAAGCTGTGAAGAAAAAGATCTGGCATGGTGTCATGTTGGCAACACCCTTATGACCCTTTTTTCACACGAGGAGGTTTTTGCATTTAATTAAACTCTTGACACAGGAAAAAGCTAAACAAATCTATACCTGCTGTAAAACAAAGAGGTGCTATATGTTTGCAACAGGTACTTAGATGCCACCTTCAACACTTCTGCTTTAGACCTGCTAAATGTCACCAGATGGAAAAGAGGGTCATTATTGTTTGCCAAATGTCTCCGCATCTGCTTCACTGAGTCTACTTGACTGTTGTATGTTATGGTTTTGGTTGTTAAATGTGAAACAGGTCATGGATAAGAAACAGAAAAGATATATAATTCATCACTCACTGTCCACTTATCTGTGTCCAGCTGGCCATTAAGGGCCATGACATCGCCTATAGGTACATAAACATGTCATCATTTTTTTGTAAAAAGGTCATCGTATAGTATGCCATAGAAATATTGTTGACATGTCATAAAGATGTGTGTCTGTAACGAGAGTAGTATGTCAGAAAAAGGTCACAATATTACGATTACATTTGCTGCTGTTTTATATTAAATGAAAAAATTGAAAAGTGCTTCGAATAGCGTTTTTACTTTAATGTGCTATATTAAATGCCTCGTCTTGCCTATGTTTTGTGATACAAATATCATTCAATCAAATGTCAACATTTTCGGAAAAAAAACGACTGTCGAACATTTAAGAAAAAAGGACATAGTTAGTATGTACAGTATGTTGAAATATAGTATGTTGAAAATATCATAAAAAAGATATGGTATAGTATGTCACAAATATCGGTTAAAAAGGATATAGTATAGTACTGCATGTCATAGTATCTAAAAAAATAATGTATGTCAAAATGTATGTTAAAATTATTTAAAAAAATACATAGTATAGTTTGTAGAACAAATCAGAAAACAAGACATTGCAAAGTATGTGTAAAAAAAGTCATATCATAGTTTGTTGAAATATAAAACAACCAAATATAATGTTTCGCAATATGAGAAAATGTCCAAATAAAAAAAACAACATCTTAGTAAAGCATGTCGGATAAAAGGTCATAGTTAGGAATAGAAGTCATGTCCAAAGTGTCAACACCATCAGAAAAACCGTCAAAGTACAGAAGACAGAGTAATAGGACAGTAACCCCCCCCCCCCCCCACAAGATAACTGACCCTGATTAGACATAAATAACTCTACATTTAAAACATTTGCTCATTACATAAGCTACATTTTTTTGAGAATCATTTGTTTTCTGTAATACTGCCTGGTTCATATATCCACTGCTATATTCCAAAAAAACAACGCTTCCATAAAAATACATCATGACAATTCTTCCAAACCTAAGACCTATTGGGGCAATGTAACCCTACATCATCTCAGCCTTGGCTTCACTACACACATACACAAGAACTACACAGACTGAAATGAGGAGACAGAGAGAGGGATATTGGTTTTGAATCTCATATCCTGTTTTATTGTTCAAATATGGCAGGACAAGATGTACGACACAGTTCAACCAACACGCTCACACCATCAGACGTACACACGGACAAACAGAGGAGACGTTCACACGCACACAGCTGAGCCTGAACTGTCTCATGATTGATAGAGACATTTCTCTAGTCTTGGGAACCACACACACACACACACACACACACACACACACACACACACACACACACACACACACACACACACACACACACACACACACCACACACACACACACACACACACACCACACACACACACACACACACACACACACACACACACACACAACACACACACACACACACACACACACACACACACACACACACACACACACACACACACACACACACACACACACACACACACACACACACACACACACACACACACAAATTGACTTGTCATACACACCAACAGGATTACTTGTGTGTTAAAGGGGATTTTAAGGAGATTAAGGATCCGGTGACAGAAACAAGATAAAAACAAAAACGTTTAAAATCCACCTTTAGAATTGACGTTTCAATGACCGCACAGCAGGATGACGAATAGATGAGCACATTTTACAGCTCCACCTGTTCGCACCCCAGGGAAATAAACCTCTTGTGGCTGAACATCTGAGCTGGCAAACTCCCTGTGTCTCGGATATCGATTTTTCTGAGAGTGGAAATGACAGGAATTGCGCTTCATGGTGGACGATTTCTTCCAATTAACTCAATAATCCAATTCTTTAGCCACAGTCTAACATCGACTTTGGCAAATCTCACAACAAAAAGAGCGACCGTTACCTTAAAATGCTAGCTATGGGTCGTCACCTTAAGCACTTGCAGAACAATGGGACTTGAGGCCCTCTTTAAACATCAGTGATTTGATTGAACAGCATGTATATATATTTAACTGTTCATTAAAAAGCGAAACAAAAAGACAATTAAAAACATCATTTTGTGCTTTTTCCATCTTTGAATGCAAACTGAACGCTCCATTTCTCATTTCAAAATCATACATCTTTTCACATAGTAATATTTCTCTAACGGTGACAGCATAGAAAGCATAAAACAACATATTTAATGTAAGAGAGTTAACAAATCATTTTTCTAACAGTATCACAGGGAAACCCAGTTTAAATAAAAATCTGAAAGTCCCTCCTTAACATTTCTCAATGGATTTCATGAGCTATGGGGTCAGCTGGAGTGAGCGGAAAAGGCCAATTTAATTTTCAAGTTCAAGCAAAAATAAAAGGATGGAAGAAAGTGAAAAGAAGAGCCGGAGTGTTTTCAGCTGACAGCCGATTGTCTGAGTAAAACACCCGACATCAGCATCACCATCTTAATCGGCTGTAAATGTGTTCAGTCGAGTAAAAGCTCCTCGGATTAGAATACAAATGTCCAATAAAGCCTGAGCCTTCAACAGCCAGGCTTCAGACGCTTTTAGAAATGATTAAATAATTGATTTATCACAAAGAAATCAACATTGTGTGAGAACAAAAAATAATGACATGTATATATGGTCAGGCAGGTAGCGTGTGTTAGCTTGTAGCATTCTTTTCATTAAAGAAGCAGGTCATTAATGGAGGATAAATGCTTTCTTGTAGTGTCTTGTTGGAGTGTTATTTTCTCTTCTTCGTCCACTATACGCATCTCCATCAGCCTGCTGTAAAGTAAGTTATATTAGTGAAGATAAATTAATGTGATGAAGGTCTGCCTGCTCCCACAGCGGTGGGGTTTTAAAAAGAGCGTATCACTTTGTTTCTGTTAGGAAATCTGAATTCAGAGCTTATGACTGATCTTGAGTTGATGATTGTCTCAGTGCTACCCTAGCAGGAAACACTATAACAATAATATATAATACTTAAAGTGTAGCCGGGGGCCAGATACATTTCTCTAAACAACTTAGAAGACAACAATGCAGTGTGGCATGCACAGACAGACATGTTGTGTATAAAGTAAATGCTGGAAGTTTACATTTTTCAGCAGTTGAAAGTGCTTTTAACCGAGAATCGCTGTAAAATACAACAAAAACTTGGTCCAACATTTCAAAGTTTGAAGAATCCTGTCACAGCACTATTTTTTTGACATTTCCCCTCAAGCCACAAAGATGAGCAAGTAACCTTTTGACAATGAAGACAGCATAAAAAGCAAAATGGAGGAGGAATATATTTTTTTTCATTGGAAAATTATGGATATTGAGTACCATTTTAAGTGCAGGTGTTTACAAAACATGATTATTCTGAACGGGCTGTTTTGTGAGTGGCAGGTTCAAAGTGAACCTTACATGTGCATGTGAGTCTCTACAGGAGTGCTTTTCTAAGTCTGACATTCAAACGCAGACCCAAAGCGTAGTGAGGATCGTGGGTCGAGGCCCCTGCTGTTTGATGTAGTGAGTTAATAACGCCTGTTTGGATGGTCACTTAGCACTGAACACAAGCTACATTATCTATTTAACCAGCCAGGTCAGTTGGGCGGGTAGCTAGCATGCCTGCCTAGCCGTTGTGGTGGGCAAGCTGGGTTAGCTCGTCAGCTAGTTGGCGTGTTCAGGCTTTGTGCCCAGGGCTCACTGACTCTTCTCCTGTTGAGCCCGGGCCTGGCTGATGTTGTCCGCATTGTCAGTCCAATGTAGTCACTTCCTGTAGTCAGTGGTGGAGTTAGCTGTAGTGTCCGTCTTTGTTTCGTCAGTGTTTCCAGGGGGCTGCGGTGCCGTGGCATTCGGTCCTCCCCCATTTTGAAGTGTTTCTTGTTTGTACTGTAGCAAGGCGCGATTGACAGCATCCTCGACCAATCGCCGGCTCACCCTCAGTAGCTCTGCCTCGTCTGGCTCAGACCGGCGACGCCCACCTGAGATAAACAGGCACAGAATAACAATATTAACACAACATTCACAAAAGCATATAATCAAATCGAGTCGTGTTTCTGGCCAACTGATAGGGTTTGGGTAAATCATTAGAAATACAATTGTACCTCAATGTTTTGCATGGAATTATTGTATCAATACACAGACGCCGATTATCAATATAACGCATAACAGATCTGATTGTGACTACAGCATTGTGAAAGTGTTGTGGGGCCTCTGTTGATTCCAAACCCTACTACCTGATAAATATAAGTCCACATTTTACTCTATTTTACCTCTGTTTTTGGTCTCCTCCAACTCAGGGGGATATATCAGGCTATTCAGCTGCTAAATGTTCACCTATTTTATCATTCTCTGTCTGCTGTTTGGATCTGAACAGGTATCGTACTCTTGATTGTGGAGAAGTACTCTGGGATATGGTTGATAAAAATGTCTGAACAAAGCTCTATTTGTTTAAAGGTCACCTATTATGCAAAATCCACTTTTTCATGTCTCTTCTATAATGTGTCCCCTCTGTGTAAAGAGATTCTGAAAGTTTCAGGAAAAACGATTCTCTCACTGTTTGTCCTGATCCTTTTATATAACAACCTGTCTGAAAATGAGCTGATTTTGGCCACTTTATGATTTTTTAGCTTTTGTAACCATTAGCCAATCACCAACCAAGGTAACCCCCCCCTTATCACCTGAATCTCCTCCTAGAGTACCATTGTGTTCTTTTTAACCAAATCTCTCTCAGAGGGGCGTGGGGAGGGGCTCCTTATTTTCATCTAAAGTAACAGACAGAGAATCAGCACTTTTGAAACAGGGCTGAAACAGAGGGGATTATGGGATGCTGCAATGATCTGTTTGGTATTTGGAGCCAAACACTTCGGAGACATGTTTTGTATAAAACTGAGACCTATAATATATTGATGAAAAACAGTATCATAGGGGACCTTTAATACGTTTTTACAGGTTTTTTGGGTTAAGAGCCATATTGAATTAAGAAGTTGAACCAAAAATACATCTTTGTAGTACTACCGTGTTAGAAGACACTGCAAATATTGAAGTCAAAGCACGTTTAAACCAGCCATGAGCATCATGTGCTACTTGCTGAAAAAGGGATGTAGCACAGTAATCCATCCCGTGGTGTTAAGTGTTATTTCATTTGATACCAGGGCTGGTTTCATTCTTATTCCAGTATGTTTTAAACAAACAGTAGAAAGCTATTCATCTGACAATGATAAATGAGTTAATTCTCACTGATCCCAGCAACAATAGATTGAATCTGACACAAGATGTCACAGGTAGAGTTGATAATAACAGTTGAGGTAAACAACAATCTCCCAGCTCTTTTATTCATGCATTTCAAATGTAATTGACCTCCTGGAGTTATTGAAAGCTATTTAACACACAGTTGGTTTTGTTTTCGCCACAGACACAATAGCAGAAAAAAGACAGTGAGATAGATGAGGAGTCCATCTCAGTCAGTTGGAAAAAAACATAGGAGATGAGAAGAAAGTCAATAATTCATGGCAACATGAGGATATTTGGGCTCACATGTACCGAACCGAAGGGCCCATACCGAATATTTTGGGTATGAATAAGTTTACACCCCTTTATCTCTGTATACATATTGGGGAATGTATTGATCCTTCTAGCTAATCTGTAATTATTTTTGACTGTTATTGCAATTACGTTGTGATTCCAGATGTTGCATAATTTGTCTAATTTTCAGCAAAAGTTATATTGATTTCATAACAGTGTGATTTCTTGCATGGCTCTGTACAAAACAGAGATTTGTTCTTGTTTCTGTAGAGTATAATATGTACCGAGACATGCCGGTAGCACAGCACAACCCTCATTCAGTGTTTCTAGGCTTTATACTTAATGTACTGTACTATTCAAGAAACTGTAAAACACTTCAGTTGTTGTATCAGTAGCATTGTTCTTCTTTTGGTGATACTGCTAACCGCGTGAAAAAGAAACAAAGAAACAGGATTGGTCACTGAAGCTGGGACATGTACTCTTTCTTCCTCCAGATATGGTCACCATGTGCTTCATTACTTACCGCTGTTCGATGAGGGACTGTTGCCCTCAGGAACGGAAGCAGAATGATTTTATTTTGAATCTGCCTTTGCCATTACATTTGCCTGCCATTTTTATTCAATTTGAGTCAACTAAAATCCGGGCTTCAGGCACCAATAGATTATTTCAGAGTTATTCTAAATCAGTGGTTCTCAACTGGTGGGTCGCGACCCGTTTGGAGTGGGTTGACATTTTTTTTTTTGGGGGGAAAAAGTCAAACTTTAATTTTGAAGGCCCGATTTTCTAACGCTGTGCATGCAGTCGGCGTTTGACTGGAAGTATCGGAGACCATAAACGGCTTTGAAAACTTCTGTCACGTAGTGATCATCTTCTCAATAAAATATCTTTACTGATGTTTTTTCGAGTCTTCTGGCCTTTGATCAGAATCAAGATTGTTGCTGGAAGTCCCCACGGAGAATAACTTTGCGGTAGAACTACTCTTTATACATCCATGGGTACAACTTCAGATAAAAATGAACACATAATGAAATATGACCCCCGGTTTGATGATTGACAGGTCACAGAACAATGGGAGCTATCTACCCTTACCCACAATTTAAAGTAAGTCACACAGACTATCTCCTCTTTACTCTTCTCGCAGCAAGATGTCAGAACAAAGTGAAAAACAAACAATGGCATAACATATTATTAACATGTCGGGTAGTAATAGATTTTTTTATTTTCTTCTCAGAGTACCAGAATGCATAGTTTATGTTAGTATTTCTAAAAATCTCCTGGGTGAGAATTCCCCAGACCCCCCTGCTGGGGTTGGGTTTACAGCATGTGTGCCTTTTTATATAGTTCAGCTTTGATTCCATCATCTCATTAAACCTTTTTAAAAAGCATACTTTAGTTCTGTGGAGGGATATATGCACTGTACTTCACTTTTATTAATATTGTATGCTGAAAAGCGTATATATTACAGCACGTTTTTTTGTTGAATAGATTTGAGTGCTTCAAAATGTTGGGTCGCGATGTATTGACCAAGTAAAAAGTGGGTCCCGAGGCCTGACCAGTTGAGAACCACTGTTCTAAATGATTGGTTACCTGGTGTTAACATATATCTGGATACATGATATGAATAATTACATCCAATGAGCTGCCTCCTTTAGATACACCTAGTATTAATAAGCATCTTTGTTATATTTATTCTGGAATTGGATGTCAACATTATTTCAGAGGATTGTGAATTTGCTAAACAAACATGGTGTCTCCTTAATTAATAATTAAACGGAACCTATAAATCCTCTTTTCGCGAGGGAAGACTTGCTAGCGACTGCACATTTAGGCCAAACAGTGGTACTACACTAACGTTCTAGTCCGTGACATCATTTGGGCCCAAAAATACATTTTCCCATTGACTTACATTGGGAAATAGACATCAGCATTTATATATATTTATCTTAGCTTAATAACTAGCAAGTACGAATACTTTTAGAGCCCTTTTTTATACATTAGGGTCTCAAAGTTGAGTATTGGGCTGAAAGCCGAATCCAGAGTTATTTTACCTCTCCATTTATTAGACTGAGCCGAGAGTGGGAGATCGGGTACGGGTCATTTCTGAATCTATAACTTGTATATTTTGAGCAACCCTCTAGGAATGATTGAGGCCCCGCCTCCGACTCTGCATCCAGTTCTCTTTATACAGCTGTGACGGCTGTCGCCTTGCCTTCCTCATTAACCGGCCTGTGAGCATTCTGTGTGTGTATATATGTGTGTGTGTATATGACTGCCTTTAGGTACTATGGTTACCGCGTTGGCGTGACGTTGTTTAGCTCCTCCCACCGGAAGAGGTCTGGAAGACGCTGGATGACGCTACTTAAGCTGCGACGCTGAAGTCATTCGGGGCGCTGGATTTGTGCCAGGACGCCACGCTACTCTACTCTCTGGCCGTTTCTCAATCGCGAGGATGCTTGCTTGGTAGCACATGTCTTCCGAGTCACTTCCTTCAGAAGCTAGGCAAGAATCCTTCCTGGCATTCGGAAAACGAAGAGTGGAACAGGCTAGCAAGTGTGCAGGTGTGCGTCATATGAGAGGCCCCGCCTTACATTTTCCGCCACAGATTTGGGGAAATTGGTCCGTGCGCAAAGCATTGTGGGGATTTGAAGGACGCGAAGTCTACCCATGTGCAGCCTCGAAATTACCCCCAAAACAAGGATGCGGCCTCGGTGGAATTCCAAGTATGCTGGAGATTGGAACAGTCCTTCGGCGGCACTCGATGACGTAGTATCCTTGAAATATTGGTTTGGAAGCCAGTTTTCCTCGCGATTGAGAAACGGCCTCCGTTGTTTATGTCTATGCTCTGAGATTTGTGACGGCGTTGGATTTGTGCTAGATGCCTCACTATTTTCGCCTTAGTGCCCTTATTGCGCTTACTGTAGCCTCCTTTTCTGTTTACTTAATATTATAAATAGATAGCTCCTTGTTTAAAGAGCCTATATCTTTGTTTATATCATTTTTATTTGAGTTTATTATTAAAATCAACCTCTTACCAAGAACATCTGGTTTTGTGTTGCTTCCCTTTTACCCTAAACGAGCTGGGGACGAAACAACATCCATCCATGCTTTAGCTAGCATAATGAAGAGGTTACCTTTTGATATTGTGGGCAGATTTTTTGTCTCAGGAATGTTGTCACTTTGCAGATTGTATCTATTTGGCTGAGATTTGATCACAATGCCAGCTTGACTGCCTCCAGATGTGTGCGTGCAAGTACACCTGAATTGACATGTGCTTTTCGTTATCAAGATAAGGTATCCAGAAATAGATTGCATGAATCTTCATGGTTTTGCACACACCTCTCCCATTAAGGTCGGCATTTAAAAGAAATGTGCAGCTTATTATTTATGATTGCCTTCCGCTAGATGTAACCAACAGTTCTAATCGTCCGGTGATCACAGAGACGATTTTCTTTCATGT